CCCCTGCATCGGCAGGCGGACTCTCAACCACTGCGCCACCAGGGAAGCCCCTGGAAAACTATTTTAATTGTGTATTTCCCACCTTAGGAAATCAAAACTATTATACTGCTCAAGACCAAGCTTTATTTAAGTTCATGACAATTATTTTTAGTAAAGAAAGAAAATTTAGCATTCTCTTTTCTGGCCTTGCTGGGGTTAATTTTTGTATCTTCCTTATATACTTCTGAGATTTTCTCCTCATGGTTTTATAAGACATTTTGATATTGTAATATTTTGTTAGGTTTAATAACATCTAATTCTGGATTTAAATAATACCTTTCACCAGAACTTTTAAGAAAATATCCATTAGTCTTCTCATACATGCACCTTTCCTGGAGTTTCAATCAATATAAACTGCTTACATGATTTATAATTTACTCAAATATTTCAAACTAATGACATTTGTCTTTTTCACCTTTTTGCATGTAGATACCATTATAGTTGGGTTAATGGATGAAATACTCCTCCATAATGTAATATACTCTATTCCAGAATGTTGGCTGGTTTCATTCTATTACTTATATTCTTCTTGATTTTCAAATAAGGATTATTAATTTTTTTGTTTTCTTTTGTTCATGCCCTCATTTCAGAAAAAATGAAGATGAATAAAGTATCTCGTTGTAACATTAACCGTAGAAACATCTTTGGAGAGAACTTACTGTATAAAGCTGCTCTGAACAACGACGCTAATCTTGTTCATCATTATATGAAGAAAGGTGGAAATGTTAATCAACCAAGTTATGCTGGTAGGCTGTGGTTACCACTTACAGTTATCTTAAGAGTGGTTTGTAGTTTCAGCTGAGTCACTACTATAAAAGTATGGCAAAGTAGGCCTAAGGCAAGTCTCAAACAGAAAGCTTCCAGATAATTTTTCTACTTAGGCAGTGCTTTACCATCATCTCCCAGGGAAGTGGTAAGATAGGGGGGAGAGGCAGGAGAATAACATTACATTTCACCTTCAAAGATTATGCCTGCCTTCAAAGTTTATGCCTTCAAAGGCCCGCTGCACCAGGTGGGCCATGTGCAGTAGCATTACACAGAAGGATGGGGTTCCTGGGGCTGGCTTGCTGGCTTTGTGTGGGCATTTTTACTATGAGACTCAGCTTTTAATGGAAGAGAAGTGAGGTTCAAAGCTGAAAGAAGATGATGGTACACTGAGCTTCAGGGAAAACTGATGATAAAATGGTAGATGTACAGCAAGGACAATAGCCAGAGAAATGGAGAGAACAGACTATGAGGTAGAGAGGGTGGGGCAGGAAGCTCAGAAAGAACAGTCTTTCTTCAAGGCTAGGTCTCTGGTGCAGTCTTCCTGTGGGGAGAACCTGATACGTTCTCCTGGAGAGGAATGATTCCTTAAAGGCACGTAAGTACTTAAAACACTGAGCAGCACTGTGTCCATACTTTTACTATTGTTTCTAGACTTTCTCGGTGTATGAAACAATGCACAAAGTCTTATGGTACACAGAGATCAGCAGCACAATCCATGGACAAGCAGGTGATTACAAGTGTACCCCCAGTACTTACTTTAGCAGCACCTGGGTTTATACTATAATCAGGGGTTTAAAGACTATTATTCTAAGTCTCACACCCAGTTCATCCATTATGGTCTTATAGCTCTCAACCTTGGATCCTTACTTGCTAGCCAGAGCACTTGCTCCCTTGATTTTGAGAAATATATGGTTCTTTCTCTTAGTCTCTATGTGCTCCTTAAGTTCAGCAGTAGTTCTGCATGCCACTAACTGGACTTTATGGATTTCCCAAGCATCAATCTTAACATGTTTCTTTTCATTAACCTTTTTTTCTGTGCCATCACTAACATCCCCAGTTGCTATTCCCTGCTTGTCTTTAGCCAGGCAGTGACTTTCTCCTCACTTCCCTAGGTACTTCTGTGACCTTCATGAATTCTTTATCCTTCCATATTTTCCAGACTTTTTGAACTCTCTTGTTTTCTATTTTTCCTTCTCAATTTGCATCTTAATCTGACCTTTACTACTTCTGGCTACCACATCCCACAGAATTGCAGAGGGCAGTGTTTGCAAAGGGTTGTCCATAAGCCATTTTCGTAAGAGTCACTTAAAATATTTGTTCAAAATGCAACCTTTACTTCACCCCCCCAAAGCACGCACACACACAAAATCACTCAAAATCACAATCAAAAGCTGTAGGTTAAAATCTGGAAATCAAGTTCCCTAGATGATTTTTATTCTCATTAATGTTCAAGAACTACTGACAAGAAGTGTATGGCCTCCATATAATTCAATGTAGTGAGCTTTTACCGTATGCCTCCTCTGTGCCAGATACTATGAAAACAAAAAGATAAACAGTATCTACTAGGAAGGTTTAAATAAATTTATTTTGTGAGATAATCCAATAAAGGCTTAAATGCCTTTTGAGGAATTAACAAAATGTTATAGTAACAGACCAATGGTCTTTTTATAGGTAACATTTGCATTTTATAAGTCCTCATTTACATTTTGTGATATCTCTGATTTAAAAAACCAATTTCAATAATTCTTTACCTATCAAAACCAAGGGTGTCAACCATGAATTAGCCTGAAAATAAATTCTGAATACCTAAAATAGATCTAATAAAGCTTCTTTGCTAAAACCCTCTCAGATCAATGACTTGAGCATTATTTTACACAGAATCCTATCTGATTCCTAAGCCTATGACACATTAGAACTGAAAAGAAAGGTTGGCTTAGGCCAGGATATTGATAATAGCAAGAAGTTTAAGCCAACAGCAAGGCAAGAGACAGATAAAAAATGAGAGGCAAAATTGTTGAGGACTGTAATGAAGAGAGTGCACTTTATATCTCTGTGGGTGTTAACAATTGTTGCATTAGATCATATAACTAATATTATTATGATCTTGAATCTTTTTAAACAAATGCGTTAAATTATATTGTCTTCATAGGAAATTTACACTCTTATAAACCTTTGAAGAAATTTCCTCCAAGATACTTAACATTTTAAAAAAAAAAAAACTATGTTGCTTAAGGATCTCCCAACCTGCAGTTTTGGGAGATAATAAAAGATCTGTTATAAAATGTACTCCATCTTTATTTACGAGGAGTGGTTTTAGAGCACAGAAGGAGTAAGCCTTAGGAGAAGGGAAATTCTTTGTTACATTTGATTTCTTTCTGGAATATGTAGCCCTTTATGTGGTCTAGGGTAGCTCTCTGCAGAATAAAGGTCCCTCTGGCTTTGTTGCTGCTGGGAATTTCTTTCAACCCTGGAACTGATACTGTTCATCACTGGGTCCTCCTTGCTTACTTAGGTCACACTTAAAGTAGCATTCATTTTCAGCTTCCCTCCCCAAGACCCCATCATTTACTATGAATTGCTCACATGTACTTTGTTTTCTTTGGGAATTTTCTGAAGTAAATTTAGTGTACGAGACTGGCTTTTTCTTGGAAGCCAGACAGTTGCTTTACATTTACCTTATCTTTTAGTCATTCTGAGCTCAGGGAAAACAAGCATCTTTTGTTATGGTTATTTTCTCATTCCTGTAGCAGCCATTTCTGTCCCCTTTAGGAAACTAATTTTTATTGTAGTTTAAGCAAAACCTAAATAAGGAAAGGAAGTTTCCTAGAAGGAAAATCATCATCTGCATTCCAAAGTTAATAACTTTTGGATTTCTGATACTTCATTTTTCATCCCACCAAACCTAGACTGTGGCAAATAATCAAGTTAACCAGTGTATATTATCAGTAAGCAAATTTCCACTGGTTTACAGGTCCCAGAACCTAAATAGCAATAAGTTCACGCTTTTTTTGGAGACAGTACTTTGGGGGAAGAGAGTTTTTATATTATATTTTTTAAATAGATCTTAAATAATTATCTTCCAAAAGTTCACGTTTATTTGAAAATTTTTATGAAATTATGAAAAATTTCAAACATACAGAAAAGTTGAAAGAATTGAACAGTGAACATCCATATACCTAATTTCTAGGTTCTCCATATTTGTTTTTGTTACATACTTATTGTAAAGGGAAACACTCATGTATTTCTCCTATTCACACCCAGATACGTGGGTTTTCCACACATTGAACAATTCTTCCACACCAGCTGGGTATCCTGCAATTCAATTCAATTCTGACACTAAACATTGTTAGTGTAGACTCCACACATTAAGACCTCAGTCCCATGAGGCTGACCACCACTTCAGACACCAATCACAAGTAGGAGATCACCAGGTTACCCACAGCTTTCATTCACCTTGGCTACAAACTGGGGGTTACCATGACCCATTTCTTGGATTTGATCATTTCCTAGAACAGCTCATGGACTCAGGGAAACACTTAACATATTTACCAGTTTATTATATAATAAAGCATATGATTAAGGATACAGATGAAAAGCCAGATGAAAAGGGTACATAAGGTGAGGTATGGAAGGGTCCAAAACACAGGAAATTCTGTCTCCATGGAATTGGGGTGTGCTGTCCTCTCAGCATTCAGATGTGTTTACCAACCTGGATAAGCTCTCCAAACCCCATACTTTGGGGATTTTTATGGAGACTTCATCACGTAGGCATGATCGATTATTAAATCCATTTCTAGCCCCTCTCTCCTTTCTGAAGAACAGAGGCAGACCTGAAAGTTCCAGCTTTTAATTAAGACTTGGTCTTTCTGGTGACCAGCCTCATCTATGAGCCCACCAAAACTTGCCTCATTGGAACAAAATACACTTATATCTCCCAGGAAATTCCAAGGGATTTTAGGAGCTCTGAGACAGACTCTCCTATCATTCAGGAAATTACAAAGGTCTTGGAAATTCTGTATCAGGAACTAGGGTCAAAGACTATAAGGACAAAAGATTCTCCTGCCACCCCTGTTTACAAGGGTTTTAGGAGCTCTGTGTTAGGAACCAGGGGGCAGAGGCCAGTATGCATATTTTTTATTTTTTAAATTATTCTTTCAACTCCAACATGGCTTTCTCAAACATTTATTTCTTTATTATTTTTAAAAATTGAAGTTTAGTTGATTTGCAATATTATATTAGTTTCAGGTATACAACATAGTGATGCAATATTTTTATATGTTATACTCCATTTAAAGTTAATACAAAATAATGGCTATATTTCCCAGTCCTGTACAATATTTCCATATTGCTTATGTATTTTGTACATAGTAGATTGTGTCTCAGTAGATTGTGTCTCTTAATTCCCTACCCCTGTCTTGCTCCTCCCCACTTCCCTCTATCCACTGGTAGCCATTAGTTTTTACTCTATATGTGTAAGTCTGTTTCTGTTTTGTTATATACATTTTTAAAAAATTTTTAGATATCACACATCATAACATATAGTGTTTGTCTTTGTCATATTTCGCTAAGCATAGTACTCTCTAGGTCCATCCACATTGTTGCAAATGACTGATTTCATTCTTTTTTATGGCTGAGTAATATTCCATTGTGTGTGTGTGTGTGTGTGTGTGTGTGTGTGTGTGTGTGTGTGTGTCCCACATCTTCTTTTTCTGTTCATCATTGTTGGGCACTTAAGTTGCTTCCAAATCTTGTCTATTTGTAAATAATGCTGCTGTGAACATTGGGGTGCATGTATCTTCAAATTAGTGTTTTCATTTTCTTCAGATACATACCCAGTAGTAGAATTGCTGGATCATAAGGTAGTTCTGTTTTTTGGTTTTTGAGGAACTTCCATACAGTTTTCCATAGTGGCTGTACCAATTTACATTTCCACCAACAGTGTACAAGGGTTCTCTTTTCTCTGCATCCTCACCAGCCTTTGTTATTTGCAGACTTTTTGATGATAGCCATTTTGACAGTTGTGAGGTGATATCTCATTGTGGTTTTTTTTTTTTTGCGGTCCGCGGGCCTCTCACTGTTGTGGCCTCTCCCATTGCGGAGCACAGGCTCTGCATGCGCAGGCACAGCAGCCATGGCTCACGGGCCCAGCCGCTCCGCGGCATGTGGGATCTTCCCGGACTGGGGCACGAACCCGTGTCCCCTGCATCGGCAGGTGGACTCTCAACCACTGTGCCACCAGGGAAGCTCCTCATTGTGGTTTTGATTTGCATTTCTCTGATAATTTTTCATGTTGGGCATCTTTTCATGTGCCTGTTAGCCAGCTGTATGTCTTCTTTGGAAAAATGTCTTTTCAGGTCTTCTGCCCATTTTTTGATTGGCCTGTTTGTTTTTTGATATTGAGTTGTATGAGCTGTTTATGTATTTTGGATATTAATCTCTTATTGGTCATATCATTTGCAAATGTTTTCTCCCATCCAGTGCATTGTCTTTTTGTTTTGTTGATGGTTTCCTTTGCTTTGCAAAAGCTTTTCATACCCCAATAAAGATGTTAAAAAAAAGAAAATACAATAAAAACTCACTTCACCTTTAAAAAAAAAAAAAAAAAAGCTTTTCAGTTTAACTAGGTCCCATTCGTTTATTTTTGCTTTTGTTTCCTTCATCTTTAGAGACGATCCAAAAAAATATTGCTATCATTTATGTCAAAGTGTGTTCTGCCTATGTTTTCTTCTGGGAGTTTTCCCATCTTACATTTACATCTTCAATCCTTTTTGAGTTTATTTTTGTATATGGTGTGAGAAAATGTTCTAATTTCCTTCTGACAACCTCTGCCTGTCTAATTGGGGTAATTAGTCGATTTTCATTTAATATGAATATTTGGATTTACTGCCATTTTACTTGTGTTTCTTGTGTCTTCATCTGTTTTTGTCTTTGCATTATTTTGTAGTGATTACTCTAGGGATTACAATATACATTTTTAATGTTTTATAGTCTTAGAGTTAATATTGTAATACTTCATATAAAATGTAAGAACATCAAATACATCTCCCTTTTCCTTTTTTTTAAATAAATTTATTTATTTATTTTTGGCTACGTTGGGTCTTTGTTGCTGTGCGTGGTCTTTCTCTAGTTGCAGTGAGTGGGGGCTACTCTTCGTTGCTGTGTGCAGGCTTCTCATTCCAGTGGCTTCTCTTGTTGTGGAGCGTGGGCTCTAGGCACACGGGCTTCAGTACTTGTGGCACACAGGCTCAGTAGTTGTGGCTCGTGGGCTCTAGAGCACAGGCTCAGTAGTTGTGGCACACGGGCTTAGTTGCTCCGTGGCATGTGGGATCTTCCTGGCTCAGGGCTTGAACCTATGTCCCCTGCATTGGCAGGCGGATTCTTAACCACTGTGCCACCAGGGAAGCCCCTCCCTTATCCTTTATGTTATGTCTATCGCATATATTACATGTATATACAGGATAAACTCCAAAACATAAAGTTATAATTTTTGCTTTAAGTAGCCTTGTGTATTTTAAGGAAATTTATAGGAAATAAATTCTATTAACTATATATTTACCAGTTTTGGTGCTCTTCATTTCTTCCTCAAGGCTTTCTAATTAATACTATTGGAGAAACTCCTTCTATAGACGTTCTTAACTGGAGTGTCCCCTCAAAGGGGACATTTGGTAGTTTCTGGAAACATTTTTAGTTTTTACAACTGGAATGGGCAGCAGGGTACTACTGGCATCTGATGGATTAAGACCAGGAACACTGCTAAACATCCTACAGTACCCAGAACATTTAGCCCAAAACGTCAGTGCCAAGATTGAGAAACTGGATTATGGAGAAGGTTCTGAAAATGTTAGTGCCAAGATTGAGAAACTCTGGTTTATGGAAGGAAAGAATGAAGCACTAAATTTAACTTGCAACTTTTTATGTTTTCTTGTATCAATCGTATGAGTTTTTGGAGTTTAGATATCTTTGACTTATACCATTAAATCTGGCTAGCAAAGGAAGAAGATATTTATTTGGATGACTGGTTTTCTTGGAGCAGTTTGTGGTATGTTTGTTGAATTTACTGTAACTAACTTTTTGCAAATAGGGAGAAAAGAAATATACAGTTGACCTATGAACAACTTGGGAGCTAAGGGTGCTAACCCTCTGTGTGGTCAAAAATCTGAGAATAAGTTACAGTTAGCCCTCCGTATCCATGGTTACTCCTTCAGCTAACCTCAGATTGTGTAGTACTGTAGTATTTACTGTTGGAAAAAAATCTGTGTATAAGGTGAACCTGCACAGTTCAAACCCATATTGTTCACGAGTCGACTGTATACTTTTGAAATGACTTCTGCGTAGTCTTGCTGGCTGGGTGGGTTATTTTAATGGAAGTACCTTGAGTTACAAATAAGGCTTTTCCCCCTCTTCTCTGCAGAAAAGTAGCCTGCAACCAGCATTCTCTATGAGCTAATAATGACTCCCCTTACAGCCTTTTTATTTGAGGGCGGCAAAAATAGTTTCAAATATTTTACTTATTTTCATATTTTTCCATATTAACACCAACAGAATTAGGGGTAGGAATTTTATTTGTCCATCAGATTTATTGAATCCACAAATAATACAGGTTGCTTTCATGGTGAGTTTATCTTGTCTCATATAACCAAAATATTTTTAAAGCAACAACTTAGAATTAGAGTTCTTATATTAAGGGCAAGCACAAACATTATTAAGATGCCAAATATAAACAAACACCATTTCTTTTTTGTGTAACAGGTTGGACAGCACTTCATGAAGCTAGTGTAGGAGGATTTTATCAGACAGCAAGTGAACTATTAAAGGGTGGAGCAGATGTAAATATCAGAGGAATGTACCAGATCACTCCCCTACATGATGCTGTGATGAATGGACATTATAAGGTACTGTGATTCTTTTGTTTGCAGAGCAAACACTACATTCTGCAAGTATTAAAAACCTCTGGGACCAAGCAATAGAAAAACAGATAGGGATCCAGTTTCAGTTCATTCTGCTAATCAATACTCAGAATTCATAATATAATTTTACTGTGTGATAGATCGGTTGTGCCTAATGTGGTAGATCCCATTTTACATGTTACTTTTAGTAACTACAGAATGTGTATTTTGGTTATACACAGTATTTTTAAAATTTCTTTAGACTCTTTTTGTATGGTTCTTTTATAGGCTTTAGGAGAACATTTCCTTCTTAGAGTGTTACACAGTGATGTCCAGCCCTGATAGCAGGCTTACAGCTTTTTGTAGTCTAGTGTTACTTTCAGAGTCAGACTAAGACATGAGAACCTCCCAGGTTTTAATGATCAGCCAGTACACACCAGCACAGAGGTACCAGTGGTTATAGTATCAAAATACTATAATTCTATACAAGTTGGTTAATAGTAACTTCAATAATGGTAATATTAATTAAGATAATGAATTCCAGCACACTTGCTTTATCACATATGTTCTGAGCTTCCTAGACATTTTTCTGGTCCAGGAACTGCATTGTTCTGAGGCACTTGTGAAAATAGCTTATTATTTATTTCAAGTACTGGAAGTTGCCTCTGGGTTTAAAACCTCTAGGGTAGGAAAGGGGGCTGATCAGCAAGGCTCAGGAAGATCTTGTTCAGTGTTCCTCCAGAAGAAATGCCTACCACAGGTAAAGCTGGGGAAGGCTGCCAGGAACCATGGGCGTAGACAAATAGGACATATCCCTTCCTAGTTTGGAGGGTTTAGGTGGTTTTGCTTTTTTTGGATAATGTAGACATTTTGTAGAGGGCTTGGGGGAGAAAATTCTGCCTTGGACCTAATTTAATGGCCAGAAGAATGCTAGAACAAGTGATGGTGTGAGCCCTCTCTCTGTCTTTTATCTGCTCTTCAAAACTGGCCTCTAGCAGAGAAACCTCATGACAAAGCATTTCTTCTCTCTCTCCATGGCTCATCCGCTCTCCAACTTGCCAGGGCTGACCTGTCCTGGTCAAGAATCTTTTCTCCCTTTGGGTAATATGAGCTGTGGGTGATTTATACCTTTTTTTCTTTTCTTTCTCAGTTCTTCCTTTGCCCTTCCTGATAACTTGGCTCCAATTAACTTCTGCCTCACAGGCTGTAACTGACAAGTCTTCTTTCTGGCCTTTGCAGATATGTAGCCTTCTCTTGTACCCTTAGTGAAGTAAAAGGGACCAAAGACACAGGCCTCTAACTCCTGAAGTATCCTGTGGTATATAAATATTTGAGATGTTGAATTGGAGGTTCATTGACAATGTTGCTGGGATTCACAGATATTGAAAAGATATCCCCCAGACATGGTGATTATGCATTCCATTTGTGTCTGGAGTGAGCTTTCTTATAAAGTTTGATTGTATATTGTATTACACTTTAAAAAGTCATACCACATCAACAGGCCAGAGCATGGATGGTGTTTTGTTGTTGGGAGTATTTTTTTAAAATCCCAGACATCATACCATTTTATCCATAAATACTTGTACCTGCATCTCTAACAGATAAGGACATTTTTTTCCACACCCACATTTTTTATCATCTTACCTTATAAAAATTAAAATTTTAAATACCACTTAATAATATCTAGTCCATATTTAAATTTCCCCAAATTATCTAAAAATGTTTTTTATTACAAGTTTTTGTTTGAATCATGATCTATCAATGTCTGTACATTACATGTGTTTGTTATGTCTCTTAAGTGTGTGTGATTTTTTTAAAGGTTTATTATTTATTTATTTATTTTACTTATTTTTGGCTGCATCGGGTCTTAGTTGCAGCACACTGGATCTTCATTGAGGCATGCGGGATTTTTCGTTGTGGCACGCGGGCTCTTTATTATAGTGCTCGGGCTTCTCTCTAGTTGTGGCATGCAGGTTTTCTCTTCTCTAATTATGGTGCCCAGGCTCCAGATTGTGTGGGCTCTGTAGTTTGCAGCACGTGGGCTCTAGTTGAGGTGCAGGAGCTTAGTAGTTGTGGCATGCAGGCTTAGTTGACCTGCGGCATGCGGGATCTTAGTTCCCTGACTAGGGATTGAACCTGCGTCCCCTGCATTGGGAGGTGGATTCTTTACCACTGGACCACCAGGGAAGTCCCTCTTAAGTATGTTTTAATCTATAACAGTTCTTCCTATATTTTGTTTTTTGTGTGTCTTCTAGAACCTGGGTCATTTGTCTTATAGAATTTCCTAAATTCTGGATTTGACTGACTTTATCTATGTTTCTTCCCATATTTTCTCTAAATGGTGTTTTACTGTAAAATCTATCAGAGACCACAATCTGGGTGCTGTGTGTGCTTACTGCTATTGGATGTCATTGTTTTTAGGCATTTTCAGTGAAATGTATACTTTTAGAAAGAAAAACAAATCATGAGTTCTTACTGATATTTCCATTTCAGACTTAATATTATAGATTCATAATAACTTTGATTTTATACTTGTATCTCTTTTTCTCTTATGCTAAACATTTGTTTCTTAATACATTAATTTCTTTATCATACAGCATACTTAACAGTACTACTATTAGTGTATTATTATTATGAATATTAACAATATTATTATTAACAATGGAACTACTAATGAAGTGCTTTTTTTACAGTTCTTTTTGTTTTGTTTATATTCCATTAGGGATGTGAGGTAAAAATACTGTCTTTTCTAGTACTTGAAAGAATTTTATTCTCTGTCCTGTTGGCTTCTTATGCAAGGAAGTTGTTGGAAGGCAGAGATATGGAATAATATCCTCCAAACTGAAAAGGAACTTTGAGACTGGAAAACAAAGCAGGCAATTCCATAAAGTGCAATTGTGAAGTTTATTGTGGGTAGCTTACATACTGGCAGGATTGGGCAGACACAATCCAGAGGCATTCACAGCTGTGCTCCTCACCACTGAAAGGAGCACAGGGAGATTTAAAGCTGCCAAAGCTAACAACAGAATCTGACTACCAAATGAGAAGCATGTCCACACTGACTGGAACTGGAGATTTTTCCTCCCCCTGGGGGGTCTCATGACCATTAAGCATCTGTGTCAACAAAAGACACTCTTCCAGTTTTCTGTCAGCAAGGGTAAAAGTTGACAGGGAATTTATCTGGCTTGGGCACATTCCTTGTGAGTAGGCTAAAGCTTAATCATGCAGAAAGGGGAGGGGTAGGACTTCAGACCTAAGATAGAGCTGACAAAATGGAGTCAGTGTGGTTCAGCCACACAGAAGTCAGCTGATTCTAGAGGGAGGAAAGCACTAGAGTCAATAATATGATTAAAGGTGAAAAGCCACGGGCAAGCTTTAAGTAGCAGTGTATTTCCTTATGGGGCCTACTGTTTGATGAACTAAATAAGTGGGGATTATGAGGCCAGCCACTTACTGAAATTGCTCTGCTTGTTCCAGTTAAGAACATGTGGTAATCTTAAAATATGTCCACAAATTCTTTAACAGTCCTCCCTTCGAAAGGTGGATCCTGATTCCTCTCCTCAGGAGGGTAGGCTGGAGTTTCAGTGAGTTGCTTCTAACAAACACAATGTGGCAGGAGTGACACAGTACATGACTTCTAAGACTAGGTTGAAAACTGTTGCGGCTTCTTCCTTGTTCTCTCACTGACTTGTTCAGCAACACTGGGAGAAGCCAGATGTCATTTCATGTAGCCACTCAAGCAGCTCTATGGAGAGGTTCACATGGCAGTGGACAAAGGCCTCCTGCCCACAGCCATGTGAGTGAGCCATCTTAGAAACAGATCCTCCAGTCCCAGGCAAACTTTTATTTATTTTTTAATTTTTTAAAATAAATTTATTTTATTTATTTATTTTTGGCCGCATTGGGTCTTCATTGCTGCATATGGGCTTTCGCTACTTGCGGCGAGCAGGGGCTACTCTTCGTTGCGGTGCACGGGCTTCTCATTGCAGTGGCTTCTCTTGTTGCGGAGCATGGGCTCTAGGCACGTGGGCTCAGTAGTTGTGGCACATGGACTCAGTAGTTGTGGCTCACGGGCTCTAGAGTGCAGGCTCAGTAGTTGTGCCTCACGGGCTTAGTTGCTCCGCGGCATGTGGGATATTCCCGGACCAGGGCTCAAACCTGTCCCCTGCCTTGGCAGGCGGATTCTTAACTACTGCACCACCAGGGAAGTCCCCAGGCAAGCTTTTAGGTGATTGTATCTCCAGCCAACATCTTGACTGTAACCTCATGAGAGACCCTGAGGCAGAACCATCCACCTGTGGCCACTCCAAAATTCCTGACCCATAGAAACTATGAGATTATAAATATTTATTATTGTTTTAAGCTACTAAGTTTTGGGGTAACTTGTTAGGTAGCAACAGATAACTAATACAGAACCTAAATGCAGATTTAAAATAGGGGTAAAAAACATAGTGGAAATAACTGATTTACTGCCATTTGGTAAGAAGAGAGTTTTTTAAAGAGGATATATTAGTTAGGCTTCAGAATTCCTGATACCAAGCTGTAGAGAGAATTGGTAAATGTGAATAGTTGGTGAAGCAGAGTATCCAGAGTCTAAAACAGAGACTGCCAAAGTAATGTATTTACTCCCTTGGGATCACCAACCCAGATTTCCAGAAAAGTGAAGCTCTAGCCCTTGCCTTTTCCCTTCCTCCCATCTTCTTTCTCATGCTTGTTGATCCTGAGTTACTTTCATACTGCATGGCTTATTATTTGACATAAAACCTCCAGAGATAAGCAACACAGCTCCTTTGGCAACCCACTTATGAAACTACTTTTCCTGAAAAAAAGTGGTTCACTCTCTATTTGTATTAGTAAACAAAATGTGAAGCTCCAGGAATATGAATTATAAATTTAATTGTATCTACTGTTACTTTCAGTCCCCCTATCTAGCATTAAACTCCCACAGTAAAGCCATTTGAAAAGTAGAATCAAGTTGCTGAGTCTTAATAATTTTTAAAAGATTTGGCTCATATTCTCCGTGTGTGTGGTGGGGCATTTTTCTCTCCTAGAATGCTTTCTTATAAAAGGAAAAATGTATATATCTTTAATCTTCAGATGCATAAAATTTACAGAAATTCAGATCCTTTCTCTCATTCCAGACATTAACATGGAAATCTAGGCTTCATTTAGTATGTTATTTAAAGCCTGTTACCCACATCCTCCTTGGTCAACATTCATTCTTTTATTAAACAACGTTTATTAAATATATACTCTATGCCAGATACTGAAATAGACACTGGGAATATAAAGATGATTAAGACATATATCTGTTGCAAAAACTTGGAGGCAACTTAAACATGCATCAGTAGGGTACTGGTTAAGTAAATTATAGTACATTCAAAAGTAAACTATTACTCAGCTGCTAAAAAGAATGATGAAGTTCAATCCATACTGATTTGGAACAATCTTCAAAGTCTGTTGCAGGGTGGGATGGGCAGGAAAGAAGCTAAGATATAGAGGAATGTATATGGTATATGACCACTTGTGTAAGAAAAAATGTATGTACACAGTTATGATTCGTACATATATACCTGTTGGACTAGACTAACTCTGGAAAAATTCAGAAGAAACTGTAACCAGAGCTGACTTAGAAAAAATAATTAGATGACTAGAGGACAAGGGTTGAGGAGGGAAACTTATTTTTCATTGTCTACTTCTCCAAGCCTTCTGTATTTTGAACCGTATTAATTTCCTATTCAAAAATAATAAATTAATTTTAAAAGAAAACAGCCCTCAAAAAACTTGGAGTACAGGAGAGAGAAATATATAAGAAATAAGTATAATATACAGCATATTGGACATAAAATATGTACATAAAAGAAGGAAGAGGTCATTTTTCTCTAGGGGATCAGTGGGTGAGGAGGTCAGGGAGAGCTTCATACAGGAGGTTACTTGAGGAGCAGTAACAGATTAAGGATTTACCTGTTTCTCTCTGATACCGAGGGGGAGCAGCAGCAACACAGGTCTATACAGAAGACATAGCTATTTCCTGGAACCTGTTAAAATTACATTTACTACTACAGAATGTAATCCTAATTCCTGGTATATCTGCTAGCTCCATTTCATCAGCAACTGAACCACAAACATTTCTGCCCCTCCCTCTGTTCCTCCTTTCCTCCCTCTTCCTTACTTCCTCTCTCTTTTTTTTTTCTTTTTGTAAGAGAAGGCATATTTATATCAATAAATTATGATTCAGTAGCAGTTACATTAATTTTTGGTTTTGTGCAGTAATGTTACAGGAAACCCAAACTGTATTGTTGAAAGAAATATTTAATGTTGCTTAGAGTTGTATGCTGGCACACATTTATAATAATACACCTTTTGTCTGGACTCCCTCACACAATCTTCCTCTAGGTGGCACAGTTACTTCTTTTGAATGGAGCAGATCCTTTATTTAGAAATGACAGTGGAAAGTGTGCTTTGGATGAAGCCAAAGACTCATGTATGAAGCGTCTCCTTGAGAGATATGTTCCTAAACATCAAAAACATCTTATATCAGGTAAAATTGAACTGCCCTGTTATATCTGTTCATCATGTCAGTAGAGAGTTATAGAAATCAAACTTGGAATTATAGAAATTAAATTGGTTTTCCTCATAAATTTTGAGAAAATCCATCCTGTGGTGTCCTTGCTCCATTCCTTTAGTTGAGCACACTGACTTGTTTGCAAATGCACCAAATGGAAGAACTCTAAAAGAACAAAGAAAGATAGTATTAAATGTACTTTCCCCCAGGATATGTACTGGAAACAGTTAAGAAAACTTTTGTAAAGTTCTGGGTCTTTTCCCCATAATCCGTTGTCTGAATAACATGGGTGATGTAACTTATATTTGGCTTTATCATTTTCCATGAATATGGCCAGGATTGTTTACTTTCATTCCTTAAGAATATTTTCTTATGGCTGTACTTTTGCCTTGTCATTCATCATTGCACTAAGTTGAACTACAAAAGAACTTGACCTGCAGTTTCAAGAAGATTATATAAGAACTGTTTATTTTTTAATTGAAGTATAATTGATTTATAATATTGTATTAGTTTCAGGTATACAATGTAGTGATCCAGTATTTTTATAGATCATACTCCATTTAAAGTTATTACAAGGTAGTGGTTATATTCCCTGTGCTGTACAATATATCCTTTTTGCTTATTTATTTTATACATAGTAGTTTGTATCTCTTAATTCCAAAATGCTATTTTGCCCCTCCCCCTTCCCTCTCCCCACTGGTAACCATTACTTTGTTCTCTGTATCAGTGAATCTGTTTCTGTTTATACATTGGTTTGTTATATACATTGGTTTGTTTTATTTTTTTAGATTCTATATATGTGATAACAGCGTATTTGTCTTTCTCTGACTTATCTCACCAAGAATAATACCCTCTACGTATCCATGTTGCTGCAAATGGCAGCATTTCATTCTTTTTTATGGTTGAGTAATATTCCATTGTATATATATAATACTATATCTTCTTTATCCATTCATCTGCTATGGACAGTTAGGTTGCTTCCATGTCTTGGCTATTGTAAATAGTAGTACTGCTATGAACATTAGGGTGTATCTTTTTGAATTAGTGTTTTCATTTTCTTTGGATATATACCCAGCAGTGGAATTGCTGGATCATATGGTAGTTCTACTTTTAGTTTTTTGAGAAACCTCCATACTGTTTTCCATAGTGGCTTTACCAGTTTGCATTCCCACCACTGTATACAATGGCTCCTTTTTCTACAAATCCTTAACAATCTTTGTTATCTGTAGACTTTTTTTTTTTTTTTTTGCGGTATGCGGGCCTCTCACTGTTGTGGCCTCTCCCGTTGCGGAGCACAGGCTCCGGACGCTCAGGCTCAGCGGCCATGGCTCACGGGCCCAGCCGCTCCGCGGCATGTGGGATCTTCCCAGACCAGGGCATGAACCCATGTCCCCTGCATCGGCAGGCAGACTCTCAACCACTGTGCCACCAGGGAAGCCCATCTGTAGACTTTTTGATGATAGCCATTTTGACAGGTGTGAGGTAATATCTCGTTGTTTTAATTTGCATTTCTCTGATGATTATCAGTGTTGAGCATCTTTTCATGTGCCTGTTAGCAATCTGTGTTATCTTTTTTTTTTTTTTTTTTTTTTTTTTGTATTCGGGGCCTTTTC